CCCTGGGAGCATGACCGGAACACACGCACAGGCCAGCATGACTCACGGCGGGGGGGGGGAGAAAAGAGGCTGCCCACCCCCCAGAGTGCCAGGGAAGTATCGGGGGAGCAGGCAGGTGGCGGGAGCTGGGGCAAGAGAGCTTGTAGGTCGGGGCAGGGGCATATCACCCATCGCCTTCCTTCACTGTTAGAGCCCCTCTTGACTGCAGCAAATGGCATTACTAGAAGCAGCACCTCAGAGCAATGCTGTGGCCAGGAGAGAGCGTGGCCCGTGGCCGCCCGGCCTCGCCCTCCTTGGAGACACCACGGCTGCATGGTGACAGCACAGGCATCTGTGGGCGCAGCTTTGAAGTCCCGGCTCCTTTGGGAGAAGGCGGGGGGAGAGCAGGCAGCACGTTCACAGCTGACGGGCTGCTGACAGCACAGCATGTATTTCTCTAGATTAGCCCCGCCCCCCCCGGGCACCGGCCTCCCCTGCGTGCAGTTCACCGATATTGCTGAGGGCTACTGTTGAAGGTTGCACCGCTCTAATCCAGAACTCGCTCGTCTGGAAACAACCGTCGTTCGGAATGAGTTGAGTGAGCCGGACATCCACGTTTCATGGGTGTGGCCAAGGTTCCTGCGCTCCCATGAAGTGTGTTTACAGCTCTCGGTATTCAGCTCTGATTTACCCCTAAATGGCCTCTCACAGCCCAGAAAGCAGTGGAAGTGTTGGTAAGGCTGCTAGACAACATTGGCCTCCCGTGGTCTGGAATATTCTCTCATTCGGAGCTGGTCACTTTTCAAGGGTGCCGGACTAGAAAGCTCCAACCTGTACTTACTCGCTTTGTCGTCAAATGGCTCTCCCATCTACTTCCCCCCCGTCTCCATGTGGATACTCTTTCCATCTCTTTTCCCTATTTATTTCCTTGTCCTTACCTTCCCGCCCCGCAGAAAAAACGAGTTAATAAGCAAACATGTATCACATTTTAGCAATGCATGATTTAACAGCAATTCAAGCTGATCTACCACCAAGCAGCAACCCACCAACAAGCTTTAAAAAGGCTACAAATCCTCTTCTCTCCCTGACCATTCAGTTCCTCTTCCCCAGCGGTGTTTCCTCTAATATTTCCCATCCATGTGTGGAATAAATTTATTTATGTGCACCGAGGCATGTCCATGTGCACCACCCCTAGAAACAAAAACCTACCTATGGGTGCTCTGCTAATCAGCTGGGCAGCATTTGACGCTCTCCTGAGTGGCTGCACAAGCTCCCAGTGTACAGGGAATGCTGTTCTCCTCGCCATTTTTGGCTACCTGTGTGCATTTGTGTTCCCCTGGGGTCTACAGAAGAGGCAGCTATTGCAGCCCATAACTTGTTTGGTTCAGTTGGTGGAAGCGCATCGTTTTAATCACAGAGCGAGCCAAATTCAAACTCTGCTCACAACCCAAGCACAATGTCTGTTATTTCCTGATTTCACCTCAGGGTATTAACAGCTGGTATTTCCTCAGACGCAGGCTCTGGTACTAGAACTGTGCATGTGTCAGGAGAAAACCATGCTAGTCCCATGATCTATTCAAGCACACTGTTTATATACCCGCTTATTAGAACCCAGTGCAGCTGAAGGTGTGGGCAGATTTAAAAAAGAGGAAAAAAAAGAGCGGATGTCTTCCAAGACAAAGGAGTTAAAAATGCGCAGCTATTTCAATCTGCATCCACAAAAGATTTTTTTTTTCATGCTTCCACCCGTTCACATTTAAGTGTAAAGTGCTGTGTGCCTTCAGGGCCATTTGCTTTCAATTAACGAAGTTAGATTCTGAGCTGACGTAGAGCGAGGTTACGGTATTTACCGGACACAACACATACAAGCTGAATGTGCTGCTAAGCGAAGGTTATTGACCACCTGGGCTTAGCTCCTCATTTAACGTTTGAAAGCCAGTCAGAACAGATAGAAAGGCATGAATGATCTGGTTATATACATGAGGTTGTCCAACTAGGGGGTGCACTCCCCATTCTGAGGGGGCGCTAGGAGCTTTATGGGAGAGGCAGCTGCTGGCCAGACGCCCGGCTCTGAAGACAGCACCAGCAGCAGTGCGGAAGTAACAGTGACAATACCATACCATGTTACCCTTCCTTTTCTGCTGCTGCTGGGGGCATGCTGCCATCAGAGCTGCGTGGCAGTGTATGTACCTTTTCGGGGGGAAGGCATATATGACGACAGTCACAGAGAAGGGGGCATGATCAGGTAAGTCTGAGAACCACTTGTCTACAGCAAGACTTTGTAGGTGGTCTTCTGACCTCTCCCTCAACGTTACATTTCTAGGCAGTCTGCAAGCGGGATACCATCGCAAATATGTAGTAAGCTGAGTTACTTAAAGCTGGTAAAAAGTTTGTCAGCAGATTGTCTGAGGAAAACAATTTTTTTTAACTGAATTGAATTTTTGATGGAAAATGCCTGTTTATAAAAAACCCCATAATTCCTGATTTGAATCATGCCTCAGAACCAACATTTTTCATTGCCAAAAAAGTTTGGTGTTTTCAGTTTTCCCTGAACCTGAAAGATGTGTGATGAAAAAGGGACAGAAAAGAAAGGTGTGTCTGTTGAAATGTCGAGGAAAGAATTTCCGAATCGGTTCCAAGTTACAATCGTGTGACAATTCTGGCCAGAACTCAGTCAGATTTTGTTTCTAGAGCTTCCAGTGAACCA